AAACGCGGCACCGGGAGAGGGTATATGCCATCGTCGATTCGATGGGATCGTTAAAATTAACGAGCGTATTTCAAGCTCCTCGAAAATGTCGCGAGCTTCTATTTTTCTCGCGCGTCGGTCGACGCGATTTTCCAGCGGCGCGAACGCGTTTCCGAAACCGTGCGTCGCTCTTGACGAGAGTGCCATCGCACCGCGCCGTTCGAAAGCGTGAAAACTGACAGCCGCGTTATGAAAAAAGAATAGAAAATAAATCATGCGGAAGATATTCCTCGAGTTCACCTTTAAATTTTATCGATCGGAGCGAAGCTTCGTTCAGAACTTACTAGATAGATCTGCTTGTCGTAGTCGATAAAACCTCTATTTAAAGTGATTAGATCATTGTTCTCGGAAGATTGAAGGAGGAGAGCTGATTCTTTGAGGAAGTTAGAAAGAAGCGAAAATAAGAGTATCCGTAAGAATAAGAAAGAGGAGCTCAACGGGGGTTGCTTCATTTCGTAGCCCCTTTTAAGTAAACGTGGCAAGACCCGTGAATACGTTTAGGGTGTCATCGCCACTGGATACTTTCCAATTACGACGACAAGATTTCGTAGGTTCGTTGGTAATTCTCGCGAGGTGTTTCCTTATTGGATTAGGAGTCGCAGCGAGCGGGCCGAAAGACAAAACGTAGACCGCGTGTATTCCTAATTAGGAACTTGAATTGCTCGTTCCTGTTGGCAGCGTGCAAAAATTGGAGGAAGTCGTAGATTTTATCGAGGACCAAGGGTTCACGGATCAGCCCTAAAATAAGACGGTGCATAATTGAGAGTAGAATAACGAAGAGACTCGTTCAACAAATTCGATTTTCGACCCCAGTCTGTCGTCGATCGTACTTTCTTTTCTGCTACACCGGACGAATTTTCATTTCCGCTTAGCGAATGATATTTAAATATTTAAGCGATTGTTACACCACGCACGTCGGAACACCATTAGCGTCTCGATTTAATGACTCGGGTAGAAATAATTTTTGTAGCATATTTCCATTCGGTTGAAGAACTTGCAACGTCGTATGTGAAATTTACATACGTGCCCCTATGTAAAGGAATCGTAGGTTGCACAGGCACTCCAGTTTGCGGTACGAACTAGCGAAAACGCAGAAAGGAAAATGATATGGAAATTGGAAGCTGTTACATGGCACGCCGAAAGACTGGCTGTGCCGATTTAACAAGAAACGTTAGTTTCGACGACGTTTCGCTTCGAGAGCTAAAAGCATTCCTCCTCCTCGAGGGGTCGAAACTCTCGGTGTATGTAGGTTAAAATCTGTTGATATACAGCGCGCACGTGGACTTCCTTTTCGACCGGGCCACGTAAGCCCGGCTTCCTGTTCTTTTTTCACGACGTGGCGACCCCATCCGCGAGTGGCGTTGAAACGACGAGAACCAAATGGTGGGGTTAATGTGCCCGCGCACCACGGGATGTCTACCAATTTCCGGGTTCAACTAATGCACTTATCAGACAGCCAGAAAGGAGAGAAAGGAGCTGCTAGAAGGGGAAATAATTGAGACGCGATGGCTCGTCGGAATCGAGCGAGCTTGCCGGGAAAACTCCGTGTAAAGCGGAACGAATCATGAAGGCGTAGAGAAATTAATGAGAGAGGCGAATTCGAAAAGGGAAGGGAAGCGAATCGAGCGAAAAATTATCTTCGTCGGAAGAAGCGAACGTTAGAACGAATGGAAAAAGGTGTAAAACGACGTGGGTTAATATGCGGTGGGTTACTTCGCAATTATCGAATTCTTCGAATTAACGAAAAATCGATCGATGCGTCTCGCGAGTTGTCCCAGCATAGTCCCATATCCCTAGTTCAAATGGCGTATAATCGACATATCCGTTTCGTCCGATATCTACGACTGTACGGTCGTTAGGTTTTCGAGAGTATGTTCTATCACTGCTTCACCCTCTTAACGTCGATAAGTACTGGAAGAAATTGGCGGTGTAACGTGCGTGCTGATAAAAATCAGTTGGCCACGCGAAAGGGCGTTCCAGATCGGTCTCGAGGGTGTAATAACCCCGTCGCATTATCGTTGTTCTCGATAGATACTTTCGGCGATATCGCAACACTCGTCTCGCGTGTCTAGATTCCGCGTGGCTCGTTGTCGCGCGTGAAACGTGCTGCTTTAACGACCTGTCCTTACGCATTATAAATATCTTTTAACGATACTTTCTTTCGAATTACTCGCGAGAGAACGACAATTTCGAAGCAAAACGATGCAGTGTTATTAAGATGCGATAGATAAAAAAGTATCGGTAGTTTGACGCGACACCTGTACAACGAATGGATTGTACCGTTAAAATTGCAAGTGTAATCGAACGTGCGACTCAATTATTTCCAAGGCGACAAACAGTTGGTGAATCCATTCGGTAAAGGGTTATTCGGTGGATCGTGGAACACGAACGGCCAGAATAAACTGAGTCATGGACAAAAACACTGTGCTCCTCGTGAAATTGAGTTACTACCGGCTCGTTATTCTCGTGAGACTCGAAATAAAGTGGCAACGACATCCACAAGGATTGAGTTACCCGTCCACTTAATTGACCGCCCGCAGAAACGAAGAGGAGGACACTGATTGACAGAGAGATGCAGCTGTCATCGCGAGCAGCCCTGAGAAAGAGGGAGGTGATCGTGTACGATTTAATTGGCTTTTAGCCGCGGAATCCCGAATTGCAAGCCCGGACACCGAGAAGAAATTAGGATGAGAATGCAGCTGCCGCGTTTCGAGCGCATGAGTTTCTTCTGGAACACCATAATTACATCCTTGTCGGAAACGCCAACTGCAATTATGCAGATCGTTGTTTGTTACTAACGTTACGACACGTCGATTCTAGAAGGTGAATATAGTCTGAAGAAAGTGCTTAGGATAGCCTAGGTTGAGCCTAAAGCGGGAGTTCGCAAACTTTATTAAACCGCAGCTTGCGTATTTTCAGAAATGGTTATATCTTGCGATCCACTCGCGCGTAATCCAAAAATTTCGAAAGTTTCAAAATCGATAGCGAAATCGTGTATTGAAACGTATCACCGGAGCGATCATCTTGCCCAAATAAGCCATTCAGGTCATCCATAAATTCTTCACCCCCTCGATTGTGGAGCGACAACGTGTCGTGTCGATAACCCTCCCTGATGACCAGCCAATTTCGAGCGATCGGGAAATCCAGTTTCGGCATCAAAGATGCAACGTGATACGTGTGGATTCGCGTATGTAGGCACAGGAAACCAATAAGTCGCCGGATTCAGTGACGCAGCAACGCCTAGCAACGTCACTGTCGTCGACCGCGTCGAATTTCTCGGATTACATAAACCCAAATAATCCCGTGAGTCATTCTAAATCTGGTTCCATCGGGGTTGCACCGCCTTCTGCCTTCTCCCTCTGGCTACTTCCTTCTTCCTCTCGCGCTTTCGTTCCCGTTTGCTCTTTTACCTCTTTTCAGACATGTCCTAAACGTCACCTCCTTCTTGTCTGACTGTCTGCCGCATAAATAGCCATGGCACGTGTGTCGTCTCGGACGCACACGTTGGCCCACTTTTCCCCTTGCTACTCGAATTAGAGAACTCGAACGATCGTTTTTCTCGCTTTCCAGTATCATTGAAGATCTATCGGACCTACCTTAAAACGCGACAAAGAGTCATGAAAATTTGGGAAATCACTCTTTGTACTTTCATAAATCGTCAGAAAAAGTTTCAAACAGATTCACTAAACCATTTATATTTTTAATTATAATATTGATGTTTGTATAAATAAACGTGAGTTCGTCGAACAAAATTGTTGGCATTCTAATATCAAACATGATAAGCGATAAAAGTATCTATAGTAGGATGCCATTTCCAATAAGTAGCGAATAGAGAAGTTCTTCAGCAAAGTTTCAAAGGGAGAATGACCTGCTCGATGTCGTAGCAAGCACGTAGACGTGTCATAGAAAAATGCTGTATGGTGGTCCGGTAACTCGGTCTCTAACGTTGAATGCGACCGCATTTCCAGCACGACACCAAGTTCCCACATATCGCCATGTAATAATGGAACCAGACAGATCTCATCCGACGGATCGCATCCGCGAGACCGGCCGATTTCGATCCTCTTTTTAACCGACTCGTTCCGTCACCGACTTCCATCGTCCCAGATCTACTGTTCACGGTCCATTTTTACGGAACAACGACGCCCAACAACGTATAACCGACGCTTGCGCGCGATATAATGAAAATTGTCACGCTTCTGTCACGAGGCTGGTGGAACTCACGGACGGAACTGTATCTCTCATCTTTTTTCATCATAGAAACGACCAACAAATTTCGAAAACTAATTAAAATAGCCACTTACGTGGATACATCGTTATTTCCAGCACTAAACGAATTAAATGGTTAACGGGATTCTGTACAATGTAGAGCATGGTAGTACAGTATATCATACGGTCGTTGTATTGCCACGTTTATGTGGACGTTGACGGGTATCGGTGGTGCCCTTTATAATCCTAGGGCACGAGGTGTTATGAATACCTACGTAACGTCAAAAACCGGTATCATGCGTTTGATCACTATGAGTTGTATTCGCTTCTCGTTGTGCTCGTCACGCGTTGTATTACCGCGTTATATCGATTTAAAATAAACAGAAAATAATTACGATACGACACCAACGTTGCGAGATACAAAAATAATATTTTCTCTCAAAGCATGGACGCTTATTTACCGGAAATAAAACCTGATTCCGTTATCAGATTCATCTATGGTATAAAACACCTGGCACGAACGAGCATTCACTCAAATCGTCAATGAATATCGGACTGCCATAATGAAACTACGCGTATTCGTTGTTTTACCTTTGTTAACGATTTTTAGCGTGAATTTAGTAGAACCTACGGTGCAGGAGAATTTGTCCAGCTTTTTCGGGAGCCTTTCAGGCATTACACAGTACTTTTCTTTGTTTCATATATGTAGAATAATCAATTAATCATTTTTTCTATTGCGTTTGATATTTCAGTGTAAGGATCCCTGAATTATTGAATCAATTGTGCAACGAATCTCAAGGACCAAATACTATTCTACGTGATGCCTGCTACGGCTGTTTCTACAGGGTCACAAATCAACCAGTCAGCTTTTCTCTATTATCGGCAATCTCCGATTGTGGGAATATTTATCTCAACGGTACCGATTACAGTCATTGTCAGCAGTACCTGACCGTAAGGATATTTCTTTATTATACTTTCCTTTGTCGAATTATGATGTTGAATGATTATAAACTGCAAGTATCTTTGCATTAGAATGCAACAAATTCAGCAAACTCGAAGACGAATCCTACTACGATATACTGCACATTTTTGGAGTGCATTCGACAAGCAAACAAGGACAATTTGGTAAGCGAATAATGCTTTGAAATTTTCTGTCAGTGTTCTTGTACAAATTTTACTGTATGTTTACATGAACGAGGACGAATTAGCTTAGTTCACCTAACTTAGATGAGGTACTAACCTTGTAAAAATAAAGAGTAACTGTAAAAAGGAGAGGACAATTGTAAATATCGAACAGGACGCGTTGCGAGTTGAACCAGAAATTGCAGGGAATTCGAGGAAGACGATCAGAAAATCTTTCGCATATTTAAAATTATACAAGCAAGTAGCGAGAAGTGTTTGCATCATACGAGAACAGGATCCAGAATCAAACACGGTCAGACCAGGAGCGGAACCGATCAACCCAAGGGGAGCAATAAATAAACCATAAACAACAATGCCATAACGTGTATATAGAATGTATAAAGATTTTGTGCATAATGTTAAATGCTTCGAGATAACTTGAGGATAAGGTAAGTAGATTGCATGTAATCTGTTTTTATATCGCTCGATAAATTGTATGGAACTGCTTTCAATAGCGACACGGTGATTGCCACAGTGAAAGTATTTGTATATAGTATGGCACAGCGTAATAATGGTTATTAAATAGTACAATCGTTGACGCGACAATACGAATTTAACTTTAAATAATCGAAAAAATATATTCAAAACGACCAATTCGCTTTATGATATTGCTGACACTTGACAGCTAAGTAAAATTACAACTGCTCGATTGCAAATATCGCAGAATTTATATCGACCAAAAATGCAATTGTCCTTCGGTAATAAAAATTTGATCCACAGCTCAGGGAATGCGTCGACGAAGCCATAAGTGTGTTTCCCAATTTTACCACCACGGACGTCAAATTGGCTCAATTATTCACGAACACCACCGCGTGTGTGCTCGCGAAAACTCGTTGTTCTCGTACGAATCCTATAACCGGTGAATATCAAAAAGACGATCTCGCCAGTAAGCTGCATATATCCACGATCAACGCCATGCTGGTCAACACCGATTACAATATCAACATTATTCAACTACCGTTTCATTACGGTTCCATCGACGTCTGCGCCAAGTATAGAAACTACGAACAAGCCAGCTGGCCGAGCGCTACGTGTTGATTGAAAATTTCCCTTCCACCCAGGACGAAACTTACAATTAGAGGAACCGTGAAATTTCTACCATCTGAAGCGAATAGGTTCGTGACGTATTTCGTTGAGCAATACATATCGGCCATCAGGTTAACGCCGTGTTATACATCAAAGTTTTATAAATAAATGATTTTACAAATTTATGTGCAAAACCTTTTGATTTCTATTCAAATATAAACACCTGGTATAAGATCAAAATATGCGTATGCTTTGTATCCCAAATTTCTGTATGCTATGTATATGAAAAAGTAAACGATGGTAGCGTTCCTTGTAACTTACATTAGTACTACAATTTAGAATTGAGGCTGGTGAAAGACGTCAATTTTCGGTGTCGAATAATACATTAGGTAATTAAGTCCGTCATAGAGAACTAGTGAAGGTATAGGATTAATGATATCGCGAAGGACAAGGTATTTCTAGCGAACGAAAGCAACGTTGTTACTATAGTCGGCTAAAAATATCATTCTTTTATGTAAAAGTAAATCGAGCAAAGCATAGCTCTAATGGAAAAGTTTGGAAAAGTTAGCTCGCTAAGAGCTTTCCTGTCTGACATGGTCAAGTCTACGATTAGTGCTTTCTTCGAGTTATTACTCTCGTCCGCTACGTGCTTAACTAGGAATCCGTCTATAGAACTATTTAAACGATCAGTTTTAGGCTTACTGTCCAAACAACTCCCGAGTTCGTCCAACTTATCGAACGGCATTATAAAAACATCAAGCTCTTAACTGCTACAGAAAGTTTAATAACTTGCCAGATTAATAGAACATAAAAATTTCAAACGTACAAATTTTCTATTCTTTTTCAAATTGTTACTATTGAGTTTTACCGTGAAAAAAGATGTATGAAAGTTTTAAAACAAAAATGAAAACCCGTGCGAGCTATCGGTAAAAGCTAAAATCCTTTGAATTCCGCTAATAAAAGTTACTAGTACCTTGAAACATTTATACCCTTGAAAGATGCAACAGAGCATGAATTTTTTTCAAGCGAACCTACAAAAATTCGAGCGTTGCTTACGTCCAACTCGGAGTTTCGTCGTGCGAGATGCACCGTGACAAACGCACAGCAGCCCAATACAGTTTCCGCCTTACGAGTTAACTTAATAACAGTTACACGGATCCGCGATGACATGGAAAGATAGAATGTAATAGTGACTAAGAGTGACACGAATCATCTAAGTGCAAATCGTGTCGTAACGCACGTGAATCATCGTTTAACCCGCTTGTCTAACAGGAACGAATAAATTTCATATACACGCTACCGGATCAACGCATATCTCCCTTTCTGTAGAACTTAAAACAAAATAACGATTATTCTGCTTAGCTTAACTTTGCATATTTGTTACAAAATTGATAGTACAGTACACATACATTTAGTCATTTTCAAGTTATTCGTAATTTTGGCCTATCCTACAATTTTAGTTCCCCGAAACATCAACAAAATTCGTTACCCCAACATTCTACAACTTTTGGTCCCAGGGTCTGTGCAAATACGCAAATATCGAGTGTCAGTCTTGTCAAAGAATTTTTATGTATCTTTTAAACGTCGGGCAACGAAGCGAACGAGACGAAGCGTTTTAAGAAGTCGCAAGATTTTCCCGTGATTCGAAATGTCGCTCGCGCTTATAAACGCGGGAACGACTCTCCCGCAGAATAAATTTTCTCGCGGAATAAAGAAAAAAGAATAATACATTGTCGTACGAATTAGCTTATGGAGCAATACAACAAGGAGTGTTTGAAAATCATAACCGATAATACTATAATCCTGAGAGAGTGGTAATAACGACACGGACGAATGTACGAACAGCGATATAACTAGAGGAATGTATCGTGGCCACATCATCGGTATTGTGTGCCGGATACGAACTCTAAAAGAACGTTTACGATATTACTCATCCTTTAAAGTGATCGTAACGAAACGGCTAATAAACAAGCTTACGGCAAATTATACGGTAAAACGACGAGGAACGGACGGTACGAATGAGACAACCCTTTTATTTTTACGAACTTGATTACTACTTACTGCGGTTAAAACTGTTAGAGGTTTACTCTTTTCCGTAACCTGATTTTTGACGAGACAGTAGGTTACTTTATCGACGATTTCAGATTGTAACAAGTTTAAATTGCACCTTCGTGGTACGATCGAGAACGTCTAATCGATAACGATGATTGCAACGCGATTTCTAATCAACGTTACAGTTATACTATTTACTCTGCAACACCTAAATATTTTTTATCGCAGTCTCGATATTTCGCTAAATATCTTGAAGAGTCGATCGAACGAAACCCCACGCTCTACAAACATCGTCTACCATAACTTCAACATTCGGTCACGGTGATATTTACGTTTATTGGATGGTTTGATGGTGGTACTAGTTGGCAAATATCCGGATATTCGAGGATAATCGGATATTAAAGAATCCAGGGTATCCGCCGTTGTGGCTCAAAGGCAATAGATTTAAAAGGAACTCGAACCGCCGACTTCCCATCGTTCCGTGTTTGCCAAAGTGAAACTCTCGGGGTTAATTCTTCCGAAAGAAACGGACAAAGAACGTCGAAGCAGATGGAGGAATCGAGAGATCGATTCCGCGACATCGGTGTGCACTCGTGTAGTACTTAGAGAAGGAGAACGGGGTAGGTAACGGGTAGCGCGTGTATGTATATAGAAGAAAGAAAAGGAATCGACGAAGATGAAAAGGAAGATCGCTCCATTGCACAGAAGCGACGCTCCACTTAGCATCTTCCTCGAAATAATTTGAAATATGCAAATACCATCGGTGAGCACGCGTTCGCGTCGCGTGTCGACGAGTGTGCGTGCCAGGCGTGTATCACGGCCGGAAGTGTGGACCAAGATACGAACGAGAAGAAAACGTGTATTCCAGTGGCTTACGGTTCACTTCTCTTCGAGCCAATCTAACTTAACATGCAGATACAGTACGTGGAATAGTAGGAGCGACAGGGTTAAAGGTCGATTCATACTCGATCCTTTCGTATCCACACCGAATTCGTATATGTTCACGAATTCGTGTAACCAACTAAAGAACAGGTACTCTGTACAATGCAGGCTCCCTTCCCTAAAATTGGTATAAAAACGATGTTACGATTTACCACCATTAGTCATGCGATAGTTTTAAGAAAGTTAGGGGACTTGGCTCCCCTCGCATAAAAATCCTAATTGCTAACCCACTCGAGGATCCTACTCGAGTAGTAGGTACGACTAACCCTTTCGTTATACCAATGTCGTTTATGTAGAGTCGTATGTGAATCAACCTTAAAAGGGGCGAAGAGAGAGAGAGTGGATGTCTCTGAGTCATTTGTGGCGATAGTACCTTTTCCGTATGATCATTCACCGTTACTACCTTTAATGTCTTTACGATTCAAAGGGTCCTTTAAAACCAGCCGTGATTTTAATGAATAAACCATTCTAGCGACTGAAACGTGGGTGGAGAAAAAATTACCCGAACCGATCCTCGATGGATATCAAGTAGTCTCTGCGTTAGACCACGCCGAATGCAATTAACGGGCTACAGTCGCGCTTAAAATATTTAATTTTAATTAAATATTAAAAATTTGTTATGGGTATTCGACTATCCCAAGATTTCCCTCGGTATGTCCCTAGATTTTCCATATACTTTCCCATTATAAGAAAAAAGAAAATGAAATATCCTCTCTCGTGTTCGAAGAAAACGTGATATCGGTTGATATTTCGCGAAAATTTCTGAGCAGCCGACAATCGATCCCGACACGAGGCAAACTCACGGAAGCACATCCTTGATTAAATTTACAAGACCGTGAGGTTGTATAGCCATAAGTAATATAATCTGATCTTGTAAAGAGGTCAGGGGCTGATACGTGCCACCTTGATAAACCGTGTATCTTTCGTATTAAAGAAAAACGATGGATTCGATCTGGAACTAGCTTAATATTTAAAGTAAACGTTCATCTTAGAGATAGCCGAATCAAGATAAATTATTAACTTTGTTAATCCGATCAAATTATTTGAGATATCGTTACGATCCGCATAGGAAGAATTTAATGTTTTCTTTCTGTTTTTTTACGACGAAAAAGATAAAAAGGGTTGCAACGAATATCTCATAAGTTCGCGCATGACCCTTGTTGCAATCTTTTCGATATATTCGCTACATGGGCGAACAAGAAAGTCGTGCACTGTCAGGCTTTCGTTTACGAGTTTCGATTCAACCGGATTATGAATTCATAGCAAATCATAAAGTTTCTCGCGGAATTTTCGACCAGCTGGCTTCCTAATTTTGCAAAGTAAGAAACAGAATGATTCAAAAGATATATATCGACAATTTCCTTAAACGACAACGTTTCAAACGTATTCCATTTTATTGGATTTACTGCATATCAGAATTTCTTTTCTTTCCTCGTTTCTCGACACTCTGACGATCGTATATTTTCTGCAACCGATGGCACTTACTTTTTATATCGAAATAAAATCACCATTATGAAATACCTTAAAATTCCAGTTAGCAATAGATCCAGCTCCCCTCAATTTTAAAACAGCAAATTTCTCGAGAAAATAGCCGAAAGAGCACAGCTATCGGGCTTCCATTTACATCGCGGTTCCACTCGTCCCAACTTCCGGGCTCTTTAAACGACGAACATGTGCGGTAAACAAACTGGATCGGTTCACAGAAACGTGTGGCGCATCGTTTGCACGTGAATCATACGGGACACGATCAACGCGTTGCGCAAGGAGCTTCATCACGAGCTGCGGAGGCGTTGCATAAAGCCTGCCGTGAAAAACAAAAACAAGGAGAAGAGTCAGCATGTGGACACGTCATCGAGGCGCGGCATAGGTGAAACCAGGACACAACGCGTGCATTCGAGACCCCACCGATTCTATCTGGCCCGATTCTTACGACCCTTCTAAGGCGTCCTCAACAGCCATGTATGCAACGAATCGTTGCACTAATAAAACAGAATAAAATAGTTCAAAAGATGCGCAAAACAGAGTACAGATTTTGTTGAATTTTGAAGACTTAAAACCGGAACAGTGACTTAAAAATTCTTATATCGTAATCGAAGGTACTGAAAAATGGAGAAGTGAAATTTTTTCCTAGCTCCGTTTCGATAGTTTCAAACTGTCGACGGTAAATTAATCGTGCGTGCGTTAG